AAAGTCCGTCCCGTGAAATTTTCCGTGACATTCCTGCATTCTGATTGGCTGCCGGTTTTCTACCTCCACCAATCAGAGAAGGGATATGAGCTACGAATCTGATTTCCAGTATCATTTTCAGTATGATTATGATTTTCAGTATCATTTTCAGTATGATTATTATTTTCGGTATCATTTTCAGTATGATTATGATTTTCGGTATCATTTTCAGTATGATTATGATTTTCAGTATCATTTTCAGTATGATTGTGATTCTCGGTATCATTTTCAGTATGATTATGATTTTCAGTATGACTATGATTTTCAGTATAATTTTCAGTATGCTCATGATTTTCAGTATCATTTTCGGTATCATTATGATTATACTTCTCAGTAACGTTTCTGTGGAACATAAAAAAATTCTTAGCAACCTAAAAAATCCTTAGCAACATAAAAAAATTTCCTTGGCAACATAACAAAATTTCCTTAGCAACATAAAAAAATTTCTTTAGCAAATAAAAAAATTTCCTTAGCAACATAAAAAACCTATCAGTACAGCCTTGCTCAGCCCGAACCAGGGTTGATTAGTAAACCCATGTTTGTCAGAATGTTATACTATTTTTTACTAGTTCTTGTATTAACTAACGTCAGTTGGTATTATTACTTGGCATCAAATACCACGAACAGTGGAGGCTGTTCGTATAAAAATTTCGAAATTCACCCTCCTCAATTCTAATCGTATGTTTTTTTCGACTCCACACTAAATTTTACCTGAATATATAAATTCTTAGAAATCGGTATGAGTACCCCTTAGTGCCCCTCTGGTTACCTTTTGCTCATCTTTGACTTCATATAATTTCATGAAAAGCCATTAAGCATCACCGTTCCGAATTTCAGCTTTTTGCGACAATTTATGAAATCGGTATGGGTCACCCCAACGGGTCCGCGAATATGAAATTTTACCGATTTCACTTCATATTCTTCCATTACGGGCCATTAGCATCCTCTATGCCAAATTTCAGCTCGATTGGATGATCTGGAAAAATCGGTATGGGTCACCCCCCTCGGGTACCTCCGGTTGACTATTTATCCAATTTCACTTCATATTCTTTCATTAGGAGCCACTAGCAACCTATATGCCAAATTTCAGCTTTCTACGACAATTTTGAAATTTTGGTGCATAATACTCCACCCACTCGGCTGACCCCACTGGTCAACCACTGGACCAATGTCACCCATCTTCGAACTCGTTTCCTAACTTTGTCCAATATGCATATGGTCAAAATTTCAAGTCAATCGGTCAACTCGTTCGAGAGTTATCGAAAGACAGACAGACAGACATGACACAATTCGATAAGCCCTGGTTCGGGCTAATAATTTTGAGAAGATGGGGTTATCGCGTCGTTGATGCCTCATGGTGGTTATCGGAGCTTGGCGGCCTGGCAGCGGTTATGTTGGGAGGCTTTCTTGTAAAAATAATTCTACCATATTCAGCTAAAAATAAAAGAGCAAACCCCCCACTCCGTACTCGATATTGAAACCGGAAACTAACTCAGACTCTCCCTCAGCGAAATCAAACGGAGTACGATTAGTTTCCGCAAGAATAGAACCTAACCAACATAAAAAAATAGGAAAAGACACTAAAATAAATCAAACTAAACTTTGATACAAATGGAATTCATTTAAATTAAAAGAGCCAATAACAAAAATAAAAGACAAAAAAATTAAAGCCATTCTAACTTCATATGAAATTGTTTGCGCTACCCGCGGGTTGCACCAAGTAAAGCATAATTTCTATTAGACGACCACCCTCTGGCTATTAAAGTATCACACCAAATTCTAGTGCAACAAAAAAAAATAAGCCCCTAAATAAAAATTAATAAAAGAAGAACTAAGTGGAACGACTCTTCAAAGCAAAATAACTATAAATAAAGAAAAAACTGGGGCAAGTAAAAAGGAACTAAATTAGAAAGAAGGGGATGGTTTGTTCTTTAATAAATAATTTAATTCCGTCCCCAAAAGATTGTAAAATACCAGTAAAACCAACCTTATTCGGACCCTTACGAATCTGAATATAACCTAAAATTTTACGCTCAAGTAACACTATAAATGCGACTCTAATTAAAACCCCAACCACTAAAAATAAATAAGAAAAACTATTATAAATAAATTTAAAAACACTACAAGTAAAATTAAATTTTATATAAAGATTCTAAATCAATTGCACTAATCTGCCAACTTAGTAAATAAATAATTTAATATTTAATCCTTTCGTACTGTAAGGACTGAGACAGACCTTGACTGGCTAGTGAGTAGCCAGACGCCACCCGAATCATCATTAATTATGTATTTATATATTAACATGTAAGCATTATCTAATTAGGTTACGTTTACCTATCAGCATCAGGATTGACTTGCCCAAATGATTTTTCATATATATCGCGCGATTTAGCCATAAGTAAATACATACTTGCACATAGGTCTTTTGTTGCTTTTTTTTCTGTGTACTTAGGTCTTTTCTGAATTGAGCATCGACTGCACTTCGGTCGTTTCTGAATTAAACACCGACTGCACTTAGGTCTTTTCTGAATAAAGCATCCACTGCACTTAGGTCTTTCTGAATTAGTAGACGATATATAATAAATTTAAATATACTATTATAGCCTTAATTGATTAGTTATTTTAGATTAATCTTTGATTATTTATTCGTTAATTTTTATTATTGATTTTAAGTATATTAATAGTTACGTTATTTTTTATATACATATAAATATGTATATATATATAAATATTTTATTTATAAATAAATGTATATATTTATACATATGTATATACTAATATATATATATGTCTTTATTGCATAAATAACCATTAGCTCTTGCAAGTCACAATCATGAGTTAGTTACAGATAAATTTTAGATAAATTGTATAGTCAAATTTTTAATTAACATAATTGTGATAGTAGTAGTAGTCAGGGGAGTAGAGGAAAAACCAAACTATGGTGGTCAGTTTGGAAAACCTCTACCTGAACTGGAAGGTTGCCCAGTTCACCATTCGGCCCTGACTACCTGTAAACCCAGGTTCGACCAGTGAATGACAGAGATTATAGGCGATTTGCATATCGGGAAAATGGTGACATCCCAAATGAGTAGGCGCCGTGCTGGGCAGGGGCACGACGGGTATTAGGCTGGAGTGGAGCATCCATGGACCACAAACTAACCAAGGACCCATTTCAGGGTTCGGCCTAAGTGACCCCATAAAGGGGCCATGATACACCCCACAAACTAACCCCTCCCATCGCAGCACATGACAAAGTCATGGAACCCGTAGACCTAGCCCAGCCGCCCCCACCAGCACTGCGCACACTCACTCTTCCGCCGACCACCCCCACATGTTCACCACCCTAATTTATCAAACAAGGTCTTACCTGGGGGAGCTCCTCTAAGGCGTAAGATCCTCCCGTGCACAGAGTCCGGTGAGATCCATCTTCGCCTGATGGCTCAGCTTGTCGTTGCTGGACGGGTGTGGCAGGAGGTGTCACCAGGCACGCAGAGGGGGGGTGTGAGTGGACGAGGCTCACATGGTGTAGAGGCCTTGGGACACACTTTACTAGCCTGGCACACCCGCGACCCAGATGGAAGAGAATCCAGATGCAGAGCGAGAGGGAGACACGTTGTGCACGGTTGGAAGTCAAAGAGGAACTCTCTTATTTATGCAATAAAGACATATATATATATATACTAATATATTAATATAAGCTTATATTTATGTATATATATATATATAATATATGATTAACCATACATATGTATATAATTATAATATATATATATATATATATATATATATATATATATATATATAAAATAAATATGCTACGCGTAATATTATTAATATGAATAAAACTCTAAAACATCTTATAATGTAGTAAGAAAAAATTAATAATGTGCCTGAAAAAAGGGCTATTTTGATAGAATAGATCATGTATTTGTACCTTTATTTATAAATAATAGAATTACACTATTTCTGTTAAATTCAAAATTTAATGTTCATTTAAACTAATTTATAATTTTATCGGGCTAGCCCAGCCCCCGCACACTTAGTATAAAGGTAAGCTAAATAAGCTAAAGGGTTCATACCCCTTCTATAAGAGTCAAATCTCTTCCTTTTTAATGTTCTTTAAAAATTATCAATTAACATTTATAACTACTACATTTTTAGGTACTTTAATGGCGGTATCGTCTAATTAATGAATTCTTTGCTGGATCGGCCTAGAGATTAACCTAATGAGATTTATTCCTTTAATTTTAAGAGACCTTAATTTTAAATCTACAGAGACAGCAATCAAATATTTTTTAACCCAAGCAGTAGCTTCTGTAATTCTAATTACAGCTGCATCCTTTACCCTTCAAATAAAAATTATTATTTAGAAAAAATAAACTTTTTTTAAATTTTTAACCCTGTCTATTAAAGCAGGCATAGCCCCTTCCATATCTGATTTCCTCCAGCGAATACAGATCACTTAAAGAAGGATGAAGATATGGTTATTGGTTCAGTATAGGGAAATGGGGTTCCAAATGCTGTGATTGGCTGACGGTTTTTATGGGCATCCGCCCATAAAAACAGGGCCGTGGCACAACTCAATTTTTCCCAATCTCAATTTCCCCATTACTTGGAAATCTCACTCCTTTCTTGGCACCAAAATCAGGTGTCTCCTTTACCATCATTCTTGCTGCCAAACTCGGAAAAGCTGAGTAATTAAAAGATTATTTAATATCCTACAAATTAATTTTCTGACATCCACTCAATTACATAAATCGCTTCAACTCACCACAAGTTAAGCTCTAAGCTTCAACTCTCGGTAAGTAGTAAAAGAATTACTATTTTCCTTCAACAATGAACGGTGGGACACAAATATGGTGGTGACACGTTCATTTTTACGAGTGATTTGGATGATTTATTGCGATTTATTGGTACAGGTAACTGCTAAGGACAATTTTTCATCCATTAATTTGCGACCTCTCTGCCGTGCCCCCACCAGAAATCTGTGTCATCGCCGGCCAACCTTGTAAATAACAACTTTAACTGGATTCTGCAACAATAAGGACCAAGGAACTTGTATTTCGTAATGCACTATATTTTATTGAAGTATAGACTCATCAATTACCATTAGTTGTTGTTCGTGACCTGGTAACAGTGTGAAATTGTCGGAAACTTAAAGTTTTACAAGATTCAAAAATAGTTTCTCATATAATGAACGGTGAATACACATATATGTACAATCATGTATGGTGAAAACACGCTCATTGTTGGAAATTAAGTTCCACTAAATTTATTTTTGTGAATTGCAGATATAATATTTGTGCCAATTGTTACTCAATATTGTGACCTATTGCCCCTTCCTCCACCAGATCCGTGTCTCCACCGGTCAATTTATCTGATCTATCAGTGTGCGTTTATACAAAGCAAATTCAAATTATATCTTCACATCCACTCTTCGCTACAATGAGCAGTCGATAACTAAAATGTATCAATTTTATTACAGGTTCACCTATTTGGCCAAACAAGGGTACTTAAAGCAATGTGACTTTGTCAAGACTATTAAAAACTTTCAAAACTTCGCTTAAGGTAAATTTTATTTTGATCTTAAAAATAGTTTCTTTCCTCTAGAATTAAAAGAATAATGAACGGTGGAGACACATTAATATGGTGGAAACACGTTCATTATTGCAAGCAACTGTTACATCAATATTTCCTTGTTATTGTGTTTAATTACAGACTCATCATTACTAATGAGACCTTGTTCGTGACTCGGGAATAGTGTGAAATTCTCAGGAACTTCAGTAAAGTTTACCAGGTTCAACCATAATATTAAAATAATAGTTTCTTATCTCCAAAAATTAAAAAAGCAACGAACAGTGGACACACACATGTATATGGTGGAAACACGTTTATTTTAATTACTGATTCGCCTTCATGTACTCAAATTCAGTGTGACTTTATCAAAACCTTCTTCAAATCTTCTTAAAATAAACAATTAACGGTGGAGACACATAAATATGGTGAAAACACGTTATTTGTTTCAAGGTTTCAAATTACTAATTGCTTGTTATTTTTCGCAGGAAATCCAGTTGCTCAAAACATTTATTTGAATTTAATAAACCGTCGTTTGTCACGGTCCGAAATATAAAGTGTTGCGGTACTAATTGTGATAATTCTTGAAACCAAGAAAATCGTAATTACTCCTTTCTGCCAAAGCGTCAGGTACAACTTCCGATGCAAAATAACTCATTTCTCCCATTCTTTTTTCCTCTGATAGCTAATTTTAGTTTTTTTAAAGGTTCCAGCAGTGGTGTAAAATTCTCGACATCGATAAGGAAAACGTATCACCTAAAACTGTCGTTTGCAGCCTTTTAGCCACCTTCAAGAAATTTCTCAAAGAGTTTTACCGACCTCTCCACCCCATTCGTGTCTTCACCATTGTCTGTGTCTCCACCGAAAGGGGGGTGGGTTAATTTATCCTTTATATGAACAAGAAGATAAAGATTAGAAATAAGTTTCACTACAGTTTGAAGTAGAAGAACCAGAACCACATTCAACTGTTTCCATTTTCCTTATATACTCAAGGCACGAAAATTATTGCTACTATTTATAATAAAATATTTTGCAACCGGGAAATTATTTCGATGTTTGTAAAATTAAAGTAAAATTGTATTTATGCTAAATCAATTTTTGTTGCAATAAATTTGGTTGTAAATCTGCATCACAACAACTTTCAGTTTTTAATTAATTATTCGAACTTAGAAAGTCGCAAAAATTCTCCATTCGAGATGACGAAAATCTGTACAAAAATTAAGTCACATTAAATCCTGAGCATGGTTGTAAAACTGCTCTGACATATCTTGTCGTTAAACTTACTTAATAATTGATGATGGTGGGTGGGTGTGGTAGACACCGAAGCACGAAAAACTGTTTTTTTGTTCTGGGACGTAAAATATAAAGTGTGATGAGAAGAGATGGTAAAGGGTAAAGCGAGAGACGGATGGTGCGCAGCGAGTGCTTCGGCTTCATTTATGCGGCATCAAAAATACATGGAGAAATTTGAATTGCGATATGAAATATGAAATATGAACTGAATAATACTTTAGATGTAATAAATAAAATTATACCTCAGCGTAACCCCTTGGCTACAATTGAAGTGTGGAGTCCTTGGAAGGTCCCCTCTCGTCTGATGTCACGTCACCATTGAATGCAAGTTAATGCTATAATTATTATACCGAATAAAAATAAATTTATATTTATTTCTTGAAATCATTTTACAATGCCTGTGGTTAAAATGAAAGCGCCTGTGGCCCCAATAAGGGGCCACGGACTTTGATCTACTAAGTGGAATGAGTGGTCTCTCTTTACTGTCATTATGTATTTAATGTGATGTAATTTCGCTAGCGTATAGTGTTGATAACACCGCAAAAACGTAAGATTGGATTATAGCGACAGCAGACTCCAAAGTTAGTAAAAGAATTTGGGTTAAGATTAATCTAGCTAAAATTAAATTAGAGGCGGCTGCTGTTTGGTTTCCTAAAAGAGTTATTAGTAAGTGCCCTGCTACCATATTAGCTATAAGTTGGACTGCTAAAGTTAAAGGTCGGATTACATTTCTAATTGATTCAATTAATACTATAAATGGTATTAATAAATTTGGGGTGCTTTGGGGTACTAAATGGGCGAACGTATGTTTGGTGTAATTTAGTCAGCCGTACACTATAAAAGTCATAGAGGTAATCTTAAAGTTAGGGTTAAAACTATATGTCTTGAAGCTGTAAAAATATACGGAAATAAACCCATAAAGTTATTTATTAAAATGAATATTAATAAACCGTAGTAACGTTAGAAGTAGCTCACCTGTAATAATGATTTAGTTATAACTTGCCCCAAAGGTGCAGAAAAATGCAACAAAATAGATACATAATTTTTGGCAATTATGCACCAATGGTGCAGAAAAATCCAACAAAGTAGATGAATAATGTGTATGCAATATTGCACACATGGTGCAGAAAAGTTAAACAAAATAGATCAATAATTATTATGCATCGGTGAACGTCCAAAAATTGTGCATCACTAGTGCAGAATTACCTACCAACGATCAACGATAATTTTGAAAAATTTATGTCAAAATTGTCTAATCAAATCCGCCGAGTAGTATGCATTATTGGTGCGTTTTGCATCCCCCTTCCCAATTATTTCGCATCATTTTGTGTTACCGATTGTTAGATGTCAACGGTGCTATTAATTTATTAAAAAATTTGATTCGGTTTGTTCAATACCAATGGTACGCCTAACTTATTCTATAATGGTCAAGGGGATTTTTAAATAGCATCAATTGATGCAAAAAACTCGTTAACAGACGGACAGACAGACAGACGGACAGACAGACGGACTAGAGGAATTCAATAGCTCTCATGCTACGCAGGGTGAGCTAATAAAGAAAGCTGAGCTAAAGAAATAAATGGGATGGTTCTCCCTACTGATGAGTGGGGGCCTAATAATATTTTAAACTCATCATGAAGTTTTTTGCAAATTCTTGAGGTTAATAAAAAAATTTATTGGCGGTGGCTCAAAATATAGGGACTAAAATCATTAAAACCATTAATGATCTAATTCAGTTTAAATTCAGTTCAAATCCTGCTCAAATCGACATTATGGAAACACACAAGAAAATAATATCAATATCGCCCCCTGACATGAAACCCCATCAACTAGAGTATATGAGACTCTTGCGTAAAACAGATCGACTTCTCTCAGCATTCACTGGAATACGGATGAGTTTTCCAAACAGCTCAACCTCAATCCAAATTCCAATTCCAGGGACACCCGTTTTGCCCTCAACCGTGGACATCCGACTCCCACGCCTTGAGTTACCAACATTCGACGGGACACTGAACGATTGGGTATCATTCCGCGATTTATTTGTCACTGCTGTTCATGACAATAAATCGCTTAGTAAGTCTCAAAAGTTAACTTACTTAAAGTCGCAAGTTAGGGGTGAAGCATCACGACAAATTTCAAGCATGATAATAACTGATGGCAATTATGATATTGCGTGGAATTCACTTCATGACAGGTACCAGAATGACCGGGAGATTTTATTTGCAATTCTCCGCAGATTCATGAACCAGCCAGTAGTTCAACAACAATCATCATCGTCCCTTCGCCAACTTGTTGATGTATCACAGGAATGCATCAGATCCCTGGACGTCCTAAAACTCCCCACAGATCAATGGGACGCCCTACTCTTATTCATCATTTTATCAAAAATGGATTCGACATCCAAGGAGTTGTGGGAGCAGTCGTTGAAGGACAGCTCCATTCTCAAACTCAAATCTCTCTTCGACTTCCTCGAGCAGCGTGCCCGAGCCCTCGCCGCAAGTGGTACGGAAGCCACGCCCAGTAAGACCTACAACAAAAAGTCTGGGAATGGTAACAATCAAAGCAATCATCGTCCCCTTGTTCATCATACCAATTCTCCATCTCATTCTTCTTCCCCATGCAAGGCTTGTAATAATGAATCGCATTATCTTTACAAGTGTGAAGTCTTCCTGTCCTGGTCACCCCAACAGCGAATCGACTTCGTCCGGAGGAACGGTCTTTGCTACAATTGCCTCAAAGACAATCATAGCGTCACCGAGTGCAACAACAAGTTTTAATGCAAGACATGTAGCTCAAGGCATCACACCCTCCTCCATAAACCAGTAGCAAATCGACCCGTCAACCCCCAACCACAGCAGCATAACCCCACGGCAGCATCGGTCCCAGCCCCAGCCCGTGTCAACTTCACATCGATTCCCCAGCCAGTTGCAAACGAGTTTGATACTCTGCTGGCTACCGCATTGGTTCAAGTAGCTGATCGCCATGGTCAGTACCACACATTTCGAGTACTTGCCGACAACGGAAGTAATACAAATTACATCACGGACTCCTGCATCAAACGGATCGGAGCTCCATTGAGACGTTGCCACACCTCCGCCACTGGGTTGGGAGGAACATACGTCGCGAACGCCACAGGAATCACGCAGTTCACTGTGAGTTCACATCTTGATTCAACCGTAACTCATTTCATCTCCAGGTGTCTCGTCACGAGCAAAATCATAGAAAAACTGCCAACTTCGTATTTCGATCACACCAAGTGGTTTCATCTGCAAGGGTTGCAACTAGCCTACCCCCTCTACTACAAACCTTTAGATGTGGACATGCTCTTAGGCGCTGAATTCTTCTTCGCTATATTGGAGTGCGGAAAAATAAGTGGACCCCCCAACAGCCCCGTCGCTATCAAAACCAGCTTCGGTTGGTTGATTGGTGGTGGTTCATCCGAAATCCCACTTATCCAGCCCAGAGTTAATGCCACACTCGCTCAATCTTCGTCGTCGACAACAACAACAATTGGCTGTGATCCCACTGACGAGAACCTAGACGCAACGCTACGCAAGTTTTGGGAAATGGACAGTGAACCATCTCATCGACTCCCAACCCAAGAAGAAACGACAATTGAATCCCACTTCAAATCTACATATACCCGCGACCATGCAGGTAGATTTACGGTTCAGCTCCCATTCAAGTCACCACGACCCAAACTCGGCTCATCACTCAACATTGCAATGAAGAGACTTCTGTTGCTTGAGCGAAGACTTCATTCAATCCAGATGCCCGTAAGCAGTATGTGGATTTCATGAAGGAGTATGAATCACTCGGTCATATGCAGGAAGTCCCTCATCGGGTGTCTCTCTGAATGACGGATTAATGGTTGGTCCAAATATTCAGGATTCACTTGTCGATATTCTCTCTCGTTTCAGACTCCATAAGATTGCATTCACGGCTGACATTAAGAAGATGTACCGACAAATAAGAGTGACCCCTGAGGACTCGAATTTGCAACGGATCTTATGGCGAGACGACCCGTCCAAACCGGTGAAGCATTACAACCTTCAAACGGTAACCTACGGCACAGCTTCAGCCCCATACTTGGCTACTCGTGTGCTGGAGGAAACAGCAGTCGTCAATGAGCAACAATTCCCTCAAGCCGCGGAAGTCGCAGGCAGGGATTTTTATGTAGACGATTTGATTTCAGGCGAACCCACCGTCCCAGAAGCATTCCAAACTCAACAAGAACTACTCAGCCTCACAAAGGATGCAGGTTTTGAGTTGTGTAAGTGGTCATCCAATTCTCAGTACGTTTTGGATGCATTTTCCCCAGAAATGAGAGAAACAAGTTCCCTCCTCTCATTCGACCAAGATTCCAGCATCAAGACATTGGGAATTTGTTGGAACCCGAAGACAGATCAGTTTCTTTTCCGCATTAGTCCTCAAGAGCCCACCACTACACCAATGACCAAGAGAATCATCTTGTCCAAATCGCTCGTCTCTTCGATCCCGTAGGCTGGTTGGCCCCCATCATCATCAACGCAAAAATCCTTATGCAGTCCTTGTGGAAGTTAAAGCATGGTTGGGATGAACCACTTCCACTAGAAATTCAAAATCAATGGACAATTCTTCGCTCGAATATGGAAGGTTTGTCTAAACTCACAATCAATCGATTTTTTATGCAAGGAACTGACCTAATCTGTCCCAGTCTTAATCGTCCTTTTCATTCTACAACAAAATTCTGCCTTGCTGGTTTTTGTGATGCGTCACAAAAGCTTACGCCGCTGCTGTGTACTTGTGTGTGTACGACGGTCAGTCCAGCTCATCATCCCTCATCACTTCAAAATCCCGTGTGGCTCCTGTCAAGACCGTGTCACTTCCGCGTTTGGAGCTCTGTGGAGCTGAACTTTTGGCTGAACTCCTGATGTCAGTCAAATCTGCCCTCAGAATTCCCATCCATTCCATATCTGCCTAGACTGATTCGACAGTGGCACTAGCATGGATCAATTCCCCACCATCAAGATGGAAGACCTTTGTCGCCAATCGGGTCACCAAGATCCAGGAGAGGGTCCCTCCCACCATGTGGAGTCACGTTAG